CTAGATTAAATGTTACGAAATTATTACCAACTCCTTGTTTAAAAATACTTTTCTTGAAAGGCGAATAAATTAATTAATTAACTGGACAAGACATTACATAATAAATAGTTGTTTGATATGAATAAAATATTCTTTAACGAAAAGCACAACATAAATGTACATACCTGTAAGTACTTGGAGGCAGCTGGAGTAGCCATAACGTGAAGTATAGGGTCAACGAAATATTCCAATTATATAATGTGCAAGAGCAGAGGATATCGTATAGGTGTACATGCACAGGTGGAAGCTCAAATCTGAAGTGATAGCATGTTGAGAATTTGAAAGCTATTTATACTAGTCGAGCTAGTCCACAAAGCCCAGCTTTACCACTGTTTCCAATAGCATTGATCACTTAATGAGCCGGGATGATCATAGACCTGTCTGATCTTGGTCATACGCCGCTAATCCTGGGCTTCCTGCTGTCAAGTTCAACCGTCACACGTCTGACCAAAGGGAGGATCTTTGACCATTGTCCGATGCTTGTCCATGACAGGATGTCCACAAGTCAACGAACGGTTAATCTCTCTGGGTTGAATTGCTCGAAAATAACTGGGACAATAGAGAGAAAGACAATACGGGCCTGTCAGTGAGAATTCGAGAGCTATTTACCATAGTCAAGCTAAACAAAGCCCAGCTCAAGAGCAATGATCATTTAATGAGCCGGGGAGATAACAGACCTGTCTGATCTTTGTCATAAGCCGCTAATCTCGGGCTTCTACCTGTCAGGTTCGACCATCACAAATTCTAACCATTGGGACTCTTTTGGGAGGATTTTTAACTATAATTGTCCGATGCTATGAGTAGACTGAATGTGATTTGGAGACAATAGACATGATAGGGAGATGGACAATAAGGGGCTGGTAGCACGACACTCCTGCATGAATGGCATGCAAATAGGATGTCGAGAACACCACTGGGTACAAATTAAACCCCAGCTTGACAGTATATAGTAAAACAAAAATACATGAACTACAAGATGACCCAAAATGATATTGATAAGACGATATTAGAATAAAGCTTATATATAGACAAGTCAATTGAAACATTAGAAAAGTGACAGATAGGCCATGCGGTCATAATTATACCAAAAAGATCATTTAAACAAATTATTGATTGATTGAATTATAGTTATGCTGTTTCAAGGCTTGATTCTGCCCCTCCCGCACTCGAGCGTTAATATTATAATAATCTAGATCTTATTTAGTCAAATATAAAGATACGATACTCATCAATTTTTATAGCGTTAAGTTGGAATGACAGTTTAAACATGTTAAACGGTGTCGATGAAGAAAAACAAGAATAATGATTAGTGTTAACAGTTCAAAATTAAGTTCGTGTTAACTCATCAAGTTATGATGATGTTTGTGATTTTAGAGTTCTTTATACCGCAGAACAAGTACAATTCTTATTATTGTCATCAAATAAATATTAACTATTTCCTTACTAAATATTAATGATTTTCAAAAAATATTTCATTTTATTTATTGTGCTCGAGACAAATTAACAAATTACTGTTCGGCTAATTTTACATACCATGTCAAAATATTGAATGGAAATTTCACGGGAGGCTGCTTCGTTGTAATTATATAAGGGAGCCTTTTATATTCCTTCGCAAAATCTTATTCAAGTTGATATGTGCCATGTACATTAACAGCGCCGAAGTTGTATAATAATAAACATGGATGCTGAGAATGAACAAATATCACATTTGACGGATTTAATCAATTAACGAACAAACAAGTCAACTACAGAACTCTAAAAATTCAAACTTAAATCAACCTTGAAATTTAATACGATACCCTTTCTGCAAAGTAATTTCTTGTTAACGCCTCGGGGAAGCAATATCTATCCCTCTCTTTTAAACAAATTTCATATAATGATAATAAAAGCCACTATGTATAGCGCTTATTATATCCTGCATCAAAAATTTGTTGGCTTTTGATTGGTTGAGAGCTCGTCACATGACCAAAAATATTTGACCTATTTTTAGAAAGTACTATATGAGAGTACTATTTTGGTTTACTATTTGGGAGTTGAAAAAAAAAATGTGAATTTTTTTTTAAATTGAATCAATTTTTTTTCTTCAAATCTTAATTTAAAGAAAGAAAAAAAATTAAAATCTTTTTAGATAAAATATGACATTTTTTTTGTTCTACATTTTTTTTTCCCAATTTTTTTTTTTTTTAAATAAATTTTTGATGCAGGATATAAAACAAATATACCAAGCCTTCTATTCGAGGTACTGGGTTAAACTATGGGCCTCGGTGATTCCAAAAGTACCATTTGCTTCGGGGCTGTGCCCCTCAGCAAATAGTACTATTGGAGTCACCTCTTACGCATAGTTTTAACCAGAACCTCTCAAGGCAGTGTATATTTGTATAATATTATCTTTCTAGGCGTTTTACATTGTAATTATTATCATTTCGTTCACTGAAATCATATAAACCTTCATTATATCTCATTTACTATAAAATTTATCTTGATGAGAATGGGCAGTTTATAGATTTAAGACCTTAATGTCATCTATTAAATCCCAGTGTGATGCAGGTATCCCGAGAACAACTTCTCTTCCTGTTGTCCATCAAAGTATTGTTCGGCCATCACGATGATCTATTCATACCACAGAGCAGTGATTGGTCGCCGTCTTGTCACTGACTAGCGGTCACTTGGCGGCGCACAAAAGCCCGGGGCTCGCTGATTGGTCCATGCGTTGATTTGGTAACTTGACAGAACGGACGCCGGCCAGCGGAGATCGGCTAAGATCAGTAAAACTCTTAGATTTGATATAATTCGAAAGTCTTTTGTATTCGAGTACACCTTTATTGTGTTATACTTAATTGCTTTTTGGTCAATCCTTTAGTGATGGGTTGACGTCATTCATGATCCAGGATCTGACGTCATTCAGTAAACACCCTCATGAGTGAAGGGGACTAATACAAATGTAAACGTTGTCTCATACATTTGGTATGGATATTAATGTTCTGCGTTTGGTAAAATTGTATACAATTTTCATTAGATATTAAAGAGACATTTTAATCATAAATAGGAATGGATGATATCCACACGCTGATCATTTCTGAAACTTTAAAGAGATTGTAGCTTAATTCATCAGAATATGATCACACAATTTCCACCGGTTGTGGTAACCTGTTGAATGGTAAAATCCCAGTTAAGTTAGCTTGCAATGCATTTTTACAAATGTATATGGACTAATTAATCACCAATAATACATTTATTCTGTAAAATTTGAAATGGCAGCGAGGTGATCATGCCCTTCGAATCTAAGGAAACACATGCTGTACAAGCCTGATGTTGCACAGCCTAGATACATTTCCATCTTGATAATATGTGTTTCAGTTTAATCATTTGTCGTCAATCTGTCATACATCTACTAGAATATGAATTAGACACGCATTTTGTACACAAGACGTTTTTTTAAATGATACTTCGGACAGCTGCATGTATGAGAATAGTTTATTTAGTCAGCAGTCTATTCCCTTGTATAATTTATGTCAGCTTCTTTCCTTCTCTCTCACTCTCTTCCACCCCCCCCCCTTTCTCTTCCTCACACATTTTATCTCTCTCTCTCTCTCTCTCTCTCTCTATGTCTCCTTCTCTCTCTCTCTCTTCCACTCCCCTTATCTCCTTACATATTCTCTCTTTATTTTTCTTATTCCTGATCCCTCTTTTTTATTCTTCCTATTTCACGATCATACTTCTTATTCTTCTGATCACGAACTCTCTCTCTTTTTCTTCTTTCTCTTGTTTATATTTGTTTGTCGATTTCTTCGTTTTTTGGTTGGTGTTTTTTTCTTCCAATCCCACCTCATCCTCAATAGGTTCTACAATGACAACTATATCAGTAAACCAACGTACATATCCGCCTGCCACTCTTCATAAATCATGTCAACCACAGTTTAACCAATATATCAATCATATATATATATTTTCAATGGGCATACAAAAATACAAATACTGTATTCAATTTAAGAATACAATACCATCAGCTTGACGTAAACTCTGTCCTAAATCTACCATGAAGAAAGAAACGGATAAAAAGGCATATATCAGCATCGGACTGGGACACTAAACTGAAGAAAAAATAAAAATAAACTAGATCATCCACCTCGATGCAACCGAATAGAAGATACCTGCAAAATATTTCATCAGTGGAAATTTGGGGAACATGCAGGATTAATGCAATAATTTTTATTTTAATAAAAGAACATTACATGGATAAAATTAATTGTCTTGCGTTTTTGTTTTGTACTGTTTTGTTCGTTTCATAAACTACAAAGTCGTTAGGTGGAAGCGAACAAACTAACATTAAATCATAACCAAGCTGCATCAAAAGTCCTCTGAAAAGAATCATCCAATTCATATCAAAACCTAGCACCATAATCAAGCAGAATTAATCATCATACTATTATCATCAGAGCATAGACATGTACATAATATATCATGTATAAGTAGATAATCATTAATTATTGAGGTTATTCCAGTATTCAAGTCAGTTAGCCCACCTCTATAATTTATCAGCTTCGAGAATGTCCAATCTCATCCTTTGGTTCAAGAAATATTCAGCATCTTTTTTCTTTTTTTTTTAGCAGATGTTTCTGCATTTATTGATAAATCAAATATAAAACATTCAAATAACAATAATAGTATATAATACAATTGATTTACATCAAGAGTGACAACTTAATACACACAAAATAAAATATTTAAAAAAATGCATAATTGAAAGCTTGAAAGTATGGAGGTAAGTAAAAAATAATCAAGATAAATGCAGAGGCCAACTATCGTAAGCAAGGAAGCTTGAGTCGATAGCTGTCGATAAAGTTATTGTACTAGAGTAACCCATAGTGAAGGGGGGGGGGCAGTTAGTATTGAATATAAACATTTTTGGGAAGGGGGGATTCCAATTACACAAACGAATGATACGTTCTCAGAATCATAAATTTGCTGACCACGATTGAGTTTTACTGACAAAAATTGCAGAAGGAAGATTTCCCTGCTGCATCAGTTTATTTTATTTCATTTCTTTTTTTCTTTTTTTGTTAATGTACTAAAAGGACAAACAGTCAAGCTATTGGAAGATTTCTAGGGTTTGATAGTCACACTACTACTAAAAATGAAATGTTATGCTTCTGAAAAACGAAAATGTAAATAACAAAAATGACACTGTCCTTAAAATGGTAAAGACCTCAACAGTTATTTCTGCTAAAATTATCAGTATCAAAATGCATTGTTTTTGTAAGGCCCCAAAAAACTGTTGGCACATTTTCTTTGATTTCAGTTGATACCTATTATTCTAAGTTATTAAGCAAAATACACATATTGAACAAACAAGAGCTGAAAATCACTATAATGTTCAACCTGAGCCAAAATGTAAATTCCATTGTGCCACCATCAAGTATAAAACAAACCAACCCTAACCCTATCTGTGGACTGCAGTAGAATAGTTAACAAATAAGAGTTAAAAATCATTCCATATCCTGAGGTAGAATTTAAATTCATTTGTGCAGCCCACAAAATACATACATTTTAATTTGTCCATAATATTTTGACTACCATAACATGGAACAATATACAAAATAATGTTCTAGAAGTCGTGTAGAAAACTTGAAAACAGTACAGCCATAATAATGCATTTAATTTCATAAGAATATACAAACATCATGGAATGTATTGTCTTCTCATTGGAATGTACAACAATACACACATAACTCACATTAGAACATGATTTAGAAGTTGTGCCTGTTTTTCATTTTGGTTTTACAGGTAAGGAACCTAAAATTAAATGTGATCTATGTTTCTCTGTTTGAGTTCCACTTATAAATGTACAGTTCTATTTAGTGCAAATGTGAGTTCAGTGAATATGGTTTCCTTTTTCCTTACGAGACAAGTATTTACTTTTTCTTTTTCATTTTTCCTACAGCGCATAGAGATGTTAATAAATGTATTATGCGTAATGTACTGTACTATTATTATTATTATTATTATTTCCATTTATTTATTTTACAAGTTTACACAATCATTACGAACAATAAAACTAATAAAATAATTAATGATACTACTACTACTACTATGAATAATAATAATAATAATACTAGAAATAATAATGACAATAATAATGCGCACAGTTGAAAATGATGCCTCTAAAATTGACCCTAAAATTTAATCAGTTCATTCGCTTTGCAAGATACATACATGACTCAAGTTTGGTGGGAATACATGAATCGGTTCCTGAGATAACGCGATCATAAGAACACGATGTACAGACGGATGGACAGACAACCTGTAAACATAATGCCTCGGGCTACTTCGTTGCGAAGGCATATAATACACTCATACAGTGCCTTCTCTGTGGGTCCACAGGGTCCACATTGGACTCCATATATTATACAATTTATAAAATATAATTTATTTTAAATACCATACAATTTACTCTGCTAAGGCAGTGTTCAATTAATGAGTGCAAAGAACTTCAGATCATATGTCTTAAATCTCTGTTTGAATCTCTCTTCTCATGGTGATGATTTCAGATGAAGAGGAAGACTTTATTACAGTCTTCCTTGCTCTCCATAATAGTATATCCTCCATCTTGGATATCTCATCGCTTTCAGCATTCTGTCCGTTGGCAGCTCTCCATGTACGTAGATATCCATGGTCAGTCTCAGATATAATGTTACTTGTTTTCATCCTTTGTCAAGTACATTATGTGCGAGTAGATGAAGAAGGACTGAAATAGCAAAATAATAATTTTAAAAAAACCTCAATGTAATCATGAAACAAAATTATTTATTCTTAGAATATTACCATAATTTGGACCAAATGGATCTTGTTTTGTCAGATCTCTTCTCTCTTTAAACATTCCATTGATAATCTGCTACTTATAATGTAGTACACAATTCATTCATTGAACATACAGTTGACAACTAAATTATTCATACCCTTACCAATTTTCGTAATTTTTCAAGTACATATATTTGAAAAAATGATTTTTCCTGATCTATTTTACTTGAAAATGTGACATATTAAAGCTTACATCTAAAAGTATTCAATAAAGGTCCTTATTTAACCTGTCCATCTTTCATTCTTGAGTTACACATTTTTTTTAAACATTGAATTCACGAGGGGTATGAATGATTTAGTCGCTAACTGTATATTGTGCTTTTCTAATGGAGATAATGAAGAGTAGTTTACAGAAAGCTGGAAAACAAATTTCTTGATATTTCTAAACTGCATGATAGCTTTGCTGAGGAATACAAGGCTGAAAGCAATACACTTTCAATGCACAAACATGGAGTATAATTTGGGCCAAATACAAATGCATTCATTCCCCCTAACCCCCCCCCCCCCCCCCCCCCCTCCCCCCTCAATTCAAAAACAAAATTGCAACAGGGCCTTTTTAAGAATTATTTTGGTAGTACATGCCATCAAGACATTGATATTATTATAAGTGTAAAGATGAATTATGACATTTGGGTGATTCCATGCAGTGTGTCCCACACTGAATGTGTCTTGTGTCCATATTTCATCCAAAATTGGAAAATCTTTTGATATTTCGACTGAATAATGGTAAAGATACCAAAGGAAAGACTAGTACATGTATTTGGTGATATCAAGAGATTTTGTTTATCATTTTGGGTGAAATAGATGAGTAAAAGTCAGATGTTGTATGGGACAGTACTCGAAATTGCCAATTTGTAGAAAAACAAAGCATGTCCTTAAAGGCATCGTTTAACCATGTTAAATCTGAGATGCGTGGCCCTACGTGTTATCAGTGTCTGTGATATGGTGTAATATTGAAGCCCTAAACAAATTGCGCTTCAATATGATCATGAAATGCCTCAAAAAAGTAAAAAATCTTTGAGTGCGGTTGAACCATACTCAGTTCCCCCAATAGACTGTAGTGTTATAAAAACCATTAGGAAAACAAAAAATGAAATTTCAATTTCCAATCATAAATATCTTGATGATCAGACAGGTGATCGGCTTGCAAAAGCGATGGGGTTCCTGACTGACCTAAATGTTTATAATTATGATTGCAGCGTGAGCTAAATCCGGATTTTGTTTCAGAATCTGAGGCAATGTTACTGAGTCACTTTAACACCATCTTACCTCGACCACAAAACCGAGCGCCCTTCCAGCACTGAGGAATGCAATGCCAGCGTACTGCACGGAGATGGGCACTCTTAACGTCTTGCCCAGGACACCCGTATAATGTGCATAGAGCCAGAGAGGTAGAACAAATAGACCTAGAACAGTGAATGTCCCTTGTGGAGTCTTGAAATCTGGATAGGAGAAAAATATAAGCAGGTAAATAATAATAAATATAATACGTATACTGTAGTAACATTAATATTCCTCTTATTACTACCGTTCTAAGTGCTTTACATTGTAACTATCATTATCAAAAATAATATATTTCATAATTATTATCAGTATCATCATCACTGATAAATATCATCATCACTGATAAATTTATAAATGGCGTTACCACTATTACTATCAATACCATCATCAATATCACTACCATCATCATCATCATCACCATCATCATCATAATCACTAACAACATTATCATCATTAACAGTATCATCATTTTCATCATCACCATCATTATCACCACTATCATCATTATCATCACATTGTCATTATCTTCTTTGCGAATACAATTTCTATCATTTTCGAAATCATAACCATTATTTATAAATATCATTGTCATCAATTTTGTTTCACATTCAATAACAAAATTAAACCAGTGTCACAAACATATATTGTCATGCATGACCTACCAAAGAACAACACATTAACACGTACATACATTTGCACATACACGTACGCGTATATAGGTGTCTCAAACCCATTTGAGAAGTTGTTGTTTCTAACCTGACTATTATTTAGGGCTATTATTGCAATAGGACAGCCTACAAATATCTCAAAATTTGTATTCTATCATCCATATGACCACTGGAAACATCAACTAGGTCATTTTCTTAGCTTATGATGATGTAATTTCTTTCTAAAATAAGATCACAGTTTGATCGTATAAAGTGGGTTCGTCTCTACAAATACATAAACATTTACCCTTCGTTTAGAGTACCAGAATTCATCGTATAACTATACGGTAAGTAATTACTTTTCTTCCTAGTCTCAACATTGTATAACGAAACATTGTAACACGTGAGTGTACACTGATAGTGGCCAAGCTGTCATGTCAAGAAACCTCTTCCACAGTTTCTTTTGTAAACAATGTTGTTTTCTAAACTCTTTGTTCCTTTTGCTATACGATGCTTCTTTAAACAATGTTTTTTCATACAAGTTTCTCAAAAATCTCCTGTAGTTTGAACAGGTCAAGAGTGTACTCTAAATCCACTTATAAATCCTCTGTTGTGCTGGACTTACTTTTTTCCATGACTTTCTGGACAATCCATGGGGCTTGGACTTTAGCTGACTTCCACTCAGTACCCAGACTGTGTGTACAGACAAACACCAACCACTCGATGGCTGCTATAAAATAGCCCCACTGCAAGAAGACAAGAAAGGAAACAAGGTTATAGAGCCAGATGATCTCGTGTTCATCAGCTGACGATGAGTTAATCATATCTGAAATGATCTCTTATAGATTCATGGAAAACTACCACTGGAGCATCCTCCTGAACAATAACCTGTGGAAAAATATTCCTAGCATTTTATAACTACCCTCCTGGATAGCTACCTCTATGGACAACTATACCCTTATGAAAATAACTGTCCCATCACACATGCAACACCCCCTTTAAAGCCCATCTGTACTAGTTTACAGGAGAAATTAGACCACCCTGCAAGGTCACTGGCAGGTGGGTATCTCATCAAATCAGCTCTCACTTAACATAAGAAAAGGAGTTTCATGAGGGACCAATGGTCACCGATTAGGCATTGTTTGCTATATAGAGGGCGCAAGTAGCTGTAA